TAGCAAGAGCAAAACAATCAAAATTAAACCAAATTTCAAAATTTCGATCTGCTATTTGTAAATCAAAAAAAATTTAACCTGCTCAATTTAAATATGTAGTTAACAAATTATTTAAGGTTAATAATAAGGAATATAATGCTAAATTTGTAAAATTAGCTGCTGATATAAGTAACATTGGACAAACCTCTATATGTGCAACAGTAGAATGTACTAGAGTTATTTATCAATTTTTAACTGGAGAGATGCTACAGCATTGGGTAATACCAACAACTTTATTATGATAGAATAATAAAATAGCAGCTGTGACTTTTACTCAAAATCATCCTAAAGAAGCTTCTAGATTTTTTAGCTATGGTATTATGGCTGATAAAAGTACACGAGGAGAAATGAAAGTATTAATTATTTGTTTTTCATATTGGAGTGACATTAAAAATAAGCTGATAATTACTGTAGCAAAATTAGCAGATATAACACATTGTAATACTAAAACGATTTCAACTATAGTATTTGAAACATGTAAACAAAAAGGAATTAACTCCCAAAAATGTCATTTTTGGCTAACAGATAATACAGCCTATATATCTTCAGAGACTAATGGTGCAATTGCTAAATTTAACTTATTAGCAATGTCCAAATCATTTCGAATTCCTTGTGGGTTACATGCAACTCATATTGCTCTAATGCATTTTGAGAATACAGCATTTGGAAACTTAGATACTATCAAAGGATTATCATTAAAAGAACATCTATTTAATCTACTTAACTTGGCCTTTCATCTTCATGATGGATATAACCTTTTGAATAAAGATAGTCCATTAAATTTAAAATCTGAAATATTAAAAGAACTTTATAAATTGCTGTTTGATTTTGAAATGAGCAAATACCAATAGCCTATCTGTCAATAGTGGTTATTTAAGCTTAAAACTGCAAAACAATATCTTAATAGGCATAAAGTCCATATTCGTTTCGCTCAATTGTTTATTAAGCAACTTGAAAATGCTAAAAACGTTTCAAAATCATACTTACATAAGTGGCAAATATTTCTTAAGTAGCTTATGGATAAACGACTTAATCTCAAATATGATGTCTCATTAAATTTGGTTAGGAATTTGATGAACCTGTTTATAATTCTTTAATCGGATATGATCAAACTCTTCAAATCTACCATTCGAATAATAGAGGTACCCTTCTACCAGGAAATCGTGCTCATAAAATGCCAGATAAAGTAATATTATAGATTCAAGAGCTTCAACATTATCTAAAAAATATTCATAATTTGTTTAGAGATGAATTAGTTAATGCTGAGAATGAGTTGAATGCAATAGATTTTGAAATTTTCTGTGAATCATTACGTGCTAGAATAGAAAATGCACTAAACAGATTTGTTAAATGGATGGAGATCTGGATTCACTTACCTCTAAGTATTTGTCAATTAGGAGGAGAAAATAGACCAGAATTTGCTCGTACCTTTTTAAATATATTTTTTAATAAAGATTCATCAACAACTCCTACTTCGAAAGAGATCTCTTATGTAAATTTTTTGAAAGAAGATTTATCTAATGGATGTTCAACTATATTTGGACTATTGGAGGCATTAACTCAGTATGATTTTTTTGTATGAAGTCATAGTACTCATCGATTAGAATAGTTGCATTAATAAATCATAGCATAAAAATACAATAATTTGCACTAATAATTAATGATACATATGGTATTATTACTATATAACAGCATCTACTTTGAATTGGTTTTTTTTATCATATCAAAATGCCACCTAGACGCCCTTGCCTAAATAGTTCTCTTCCAAAAATATCCAATTCCTATTCAAAAAAAAAAAAAATGCCTAGTCATCTATATAGACCAGATGCAGAAAGTTATATTTTCAGTGACAAAATTTATGTCTCTTTTCTTGTTAAAGTTAATGAAGCTGAAACCAGATTTTCAGCATTCATAGAGATGACTTCCCTCCAACAAGAAATAAATAAAAAATATAGAGATAAATATACCAAATAGCATTTAGTCAATGTCAAATCTGTTTTTAATCTGATTTATGACATGGATGAATCTGAAATAAAATTATGTAGCTTATATAGTGTTATAGATCAGGATCAAAACAGGTCAACTAAAATTTCATTCAATCATCTACTTGCATGTGAAGGGTCTAAAAAACATCAAACATACTTTGATACCGAGCATAAATATTATGCTGAAATATTTGAAGAGACCAAATGGTTTTCTACCCAAACTATGCCTCCCTCTATAGGTACCTTGTGGTTTTTCGAATTCGTATCAGGTCTTATTAAGGGCACAGTAATTGGAAGAATTATATTCGAAAGTAAATTTCATTATAAAGAAAAAGCAACTGACTAGGTAAACACAATAGTAAATAACCAATACAAATTTTATGGAAATGGAGAGATTTTTGAAAATGAAACGTCTGAGATAAAACTTACAGATCAGTATAAAATTTTCAGTAGTGAAGTGGAAGATGAAGTAGAAGAAGAGGTATTAGAAGAAGAGGTGTTGGAAGAAGAGGTGTTGAAAGAAGACCAAGTAGCTGTTTGTAGATATCAAACATCTGAAAGAGCCTAGATATAATCTTTCTATTGGTATTAGAGATAAATTCGTCATTATCTGTATAATGTGAAAATCTGTCATATGACTTTTTAAGCTATCTATTAAAAAAAATTATTTTAATTAGTAAAATAAAATTCTAACGTTGTTACTTTAAAAAGAAAACTTATAATAAACAAATTATTTTTATAGAATTAAAAAATATTAAATATTACGGGAGAAATTAAAAGTGAAGTAAAGTCTATTTTTTATAATTTTTTAATATAGCATGTAAATCTTAAAATTTTATTATAAAAAATCTTGATTAGTGATTATTACTATATGACCTGCACTATGTTTGTAAACATACCGATAATAGACACCCTAGTCGCTTCTGTAGTCTTGACGCCATGACAGGTTTTAAAAGGAGTTTATCAGGAATAACAAAGTAAAACTTTCGTTAGAATTTTTTTTTTATTCTTTTTTTATGTCTAAGAAAATGTATAAAAAGATGTAAGTTTTTGAAAAAAAATTAAAATAAAAGAAGAATAGAAAGACAAGATCTCAGACCAAAATAAATAAACATTTATGTTTGCATAATGTTTCCAAATCAAAATCAGCTTTTCTTTAAGTAGTATCACATTACGCTACGTCTTGGAAATTAAAGCGACGCTATCATGCTATATTTTCTTTTTGAATGGAGGTAATACCAAATACCCTCTAACACTAGTAATAAAATGGTGCCGTTTTGTAAAGCTGGAGCTCTACATATTAGGTTCTTCAATTTGAAAATATAAATTACTTTTTTGACAGTCGGAAATTTTTTTTTAAAAAAAATATAAAGGTTAGGGTTAGTTTATTAAATTTCTTATCATTCTAATTTAGAAGTATGTTATTATGTTAATAATATTAATTATTTTTCTAGATTATTGTCTCACACATGCAAGTATACTTCTTTTAATTGTTTGTTTTGTTTATACTATATAAATATAAAATATTAATATGTTCTAATACAATATTACTGGAAGTTTATGTAGGAAGAATCATCGATTGTTATATTACATAACTATTGATAACTATTGATGTCTATTGATATCTAAAGATTTTTGGGCTCATTATTAAAAATTACATTCCAAATTTATCTACAATTAGATTTTTAATAGTCACATATTGAGATGTAAATCTAGAAGTATGCTAAAATGACTTATCATATTATTATTATTAGAATATCTATCCTAATAAGCTATTTATATAATCATAGGCTATTCAAAATAGCAATAGATAAATTTTAAACAATTAGCAAATTTTTATTATCATCTTTTTTTTCAAATAAGTCTACTTGTTTTGTCATGCTACCTTCTGCAATATTTAATAAAAAATCTATATTTACTCAAATAATATTTTATTGAGATAATTTAAAACTAACATAGCTAGCAGAGTTATTAATTAAAAACTACTTAATAATGTATAGCGTCACCAAATAAAAAATTGTACATATCAATATAGAAAATATGCTTTTGTGATTAGCTTTTTGATATATACAACTATAATAATTATATCAATTTGCAATTATTAATATTCTTATATCGAGGTTTAAATGATTAGTAATTGTCGCATTCTTTTTATTATATTATTTATTACATGATATATAATAAAAGGATGCGTCAATACTTATGAATAATTTTACAATACTACAATTACTATAATTATTAAATATTATTAAATATTATTGACTAATTATCTAATTATTAATTTTTTATCATTAACTAAAAAACTCGCAAGTCTCATCACTAAACACAGCAGTTCTTAAAGATCATTATTATATTAGTATAAAAAATCACATTATTGTTTAAATATTTAAAGTTATTGACATAATTTTTAAATAATTAAATAATACAGCAGTAAGTGTGTTTATTGTTTCTTTATAAGTGCCTTCTCTTTAATATCTCTTATCATGATGTACAGAAAAGTAACTTGTATTTCTTTCTTAAGATAGAATTTATGCGTAATTAAATAATATACTAGTTAATTTACAATATTAATTTAATATTTAAAAAATAATTTTACTGTAGATACTTTAAAATATTATAAAAGAATCGAATTTGTTATAATAAAAATAAAAACATCAAATATTATTCTTTGAAATCTGTAATTTTATAATCATGACCTAACCATTTTATTATACAAATAAACTCGTCAAAACTTGCATCTCTCGCTAAGAACCTGATAAATAAAATTATAAATATATAAAGATATTCTATAATAAATTATAGACAAATACCACATAATAAGAATGGGTCAACTAAATTCACGAAACAGACAACTTAAAAATAGTCGAAAGTTACGAGAATCTAAACAATAGAAAGTATTTCAAAGCATTAAGAATGATCCTCAAATAATACTCAAACATTTGATTCTAACATTTATGCAATTAAATGATAACGATTTTAGTTCTATAATAAATAAAATTTTTGAATCCTGAGAAATGAATATTTCTATTCAAAGAAAATTGCTTGATCATTTAATTCCAGTATTCGCTCAATTAAATGATGATGATTTTAATTTTAGAATAAAGAAAATTTTTGAATCACGAGAAATAAATACTTGCATTCAAAGAAAACGCAATGATATCTTTATACATGTTTGTAACTTATCTAATCAACAAATATTTGATGCTCTAAATCTTTTTCGAACTATGATATATCCTCATGGAAATCATAAAGAAGAGATAATTTCTACATATTTGCAAAATAAAGTATATAAGTTTGTTGATGATAGTTTTTGTAAGCAAGGTTTCACTATCGACACGTTAAAATTAAAAAATAAAAATTTAAGACAAGAAACTCAACGATTAAAAAAAAATAAATTTACTACCATTAATCTACTTCGTTCATTTTCTGTGCAAGTAGCAAGAGCAAAACAATCAAAATTAAACCAAATTTCAAAATTTCGATCTGCTATTTGTAAATCAAAAAAAATTTAA